CAGTCATTGCCTGCAAAGGATTCTTAACAAAATATTAAAAATGAAAAATGTATTTATGGTAATGTTAATTATATTTGAGCCCTTAAAATGAGGAGACTTTGTTTAAAAATGGTTAAAATTTCTAAACGTTAGATAGGATATTTTGGTTCAACCCGTGGAATTAAACCTGAAAGTCTGCATTTCAATTGCATCTCACTTGTTTAATTTCAAATCCAATGTGGTGGTATGCAGAGCCCATGAAAATCATGAAAATGGTGTCACTGTCCAAATATTTCTGGGCCTGACTGTATATATATGCGCATATAACACAGATTATTCAAAACATGTTGTGTAAGCATGGATGTATAGGTCAAAATATAACTCAGTTCAAGAGTATAACCTTGGTTAACTTTGATACTTGAACACATTTGATACTTAATGATATAACATGATGTCAACACAAACTAACCTTAATCACCACCAAGCCCATATGCAAGTACCCCAAACACTGCAATCCATATCTCCCGACAATCCAGTTTTAGTGCTTGGAGATTTGAATCACTGTTTCCTGACGACTGTCAGAGACTTTCATCAATACGTCACATGCCCAAGCAGACTCAAAAAGACGCCAACTGGTGTTGACTGATGTCCTTGTTTTACAATTATATGTCTATGTATGTATACATGTCCTGTTGGGGCTGTAGCTTTCAGTATTAGCCCAGCCTACCCAGTCTCACTCCGAAGTCATCATATACCGTACAACCGCCATCGAAGTCAGGTGATGTTGTATAAAGAGCGAAAAAGTCCACATATGGAGGTGGTGAGGTGGATGGATGGGTCAAACAAACAGGACTTCCACCCAGGAGACTACTGTTCACGTCCTGTGTGAAACCAAAAGTAAATGTTGAATTCTTTGAAGTTAAATATGTAACATATGTTAGCTTATGTAACATACTTAATTTGTGTGAGTTAGGTAACATAACTTAAAATGTTTTCCTAACCCTAAGGAAGTATGTGTGCCCAAACCTAATCGAAGTGCAACCATTTCACATAGTTAACCACTCAAACTTTATTTTGAAAGTCTAACCAGACATTGCATATTTATCTGAATGTAGTCTAAATGTTATAATGTCAGACTGCATTGTGATGATTTCTCTTACCACACATAACAACTAAGCTAGAGGAATGCACACTAACTATATTGCTATAGATAATTAACACCCCGTTAGGGTCTAACACACTCTTTAACCCTTTTTGTCTCTCAGAACTTGGAATTACCTCGCGGTTCAAAGGTGCTTTTTGAGCTTTTGTTGTCACATGATTTCAAACAGTCTGACATCAATAAAACATGTGATGAAGGGAGAGGAGTTCTTTAAGATAAGCTTTTATTGACACAATAAAGTTCAATTGATAAAAACTAAGTAGCATTCATTCATACAGCCCAGACAGTCTGTACCGTACTCAAGAGTTCACTGCAGTCTATACTGAGACTGAGAGTTTCTGTGAAATCATGTGACCACAGAGCGTCCACCCTCTCTGCTGATATAAAACTGCTCTGTGCTCTCTCTTCCTCCTCAGCATTAGAGCTTCCTGAAGCAACAACAGGTAAGAACACAACGGAACTATGAAATACTTTAAACTGTCAAGGTCAGGACACCAGATACAAATATATATAAATATGAGACTTGGTTGTCAGTAATCAGTGGTGTTCATGTGGATGAGTGATTTGATCACTGTTCCCTGAAGACTCTGAGAGACTTTCAACGTCACATGCCCAATCAGACACAACAAGAATTCAACTGGTGTTAAAGTTCTGTCACCCGCTGTATGGGGCTGACCTCAACTGTGTCCAGCTCATCTCACCATCTGCCCTGCTTTGAGGAGAAGAAAACCAACATCAAACGGACTAAAAACAGGACAGAAGATTCCATCCTGGGGCTGTTACATGTATGTTTAAAGAGTCCTGTACTGACGTTGATGATCTCACTAATGTTGTCAGCTGTTACGTTTCCAACTGTAAGGACAATCCCTGAGCAGACTGTGAAAATGTACTCAAATAGCCATTGGTCACAAAATCAGTTAGTGTTGTTGTATAGAAAGAGGTGTGCATGGAAGAAATGATAGAGAGGGAGCTTGAGACCAACAACTTAAGTTCTGCCTCGGATGGTATGAAGACTATTGTAGGCACAAAGGTCTAAGGTTGTGCTGAAGGGTTTTGGATGGGACATGCAGCTTGCACAACACCTGAAGTCTGACACCCACAATTTCACTATTAGAAGAGAGTAAGGGTGAATGGTTGGTTGTCCAAGAGATGTCATCATCCACAGGGTCTCCTCTGGGTTGTTTCCTTTCACCACTCCTCTACATTCTTTATACTGATGATTGGCGCAGTCAGCATAACAACTGATGCACCATCAGATGCCTCTGCTTTTGTCAGTCTCCTCCACTCTGATGAAAATGATCATGGTCCTGTTGTAAATGACTTTGTACACTGTTAAATGTGGCAAAGACGAAGGACATGTGCAATGATTTTAGGGACCTCCGGTCATTACCATCCAGGGGAAGTTGTAAATGTTCTACTAAGTACCTAACTGACAATAAGTTGAACTTTAACTGTCATCACCATTTTAACATGTCTTGCAAAAAGGGACAGCAACGACTTTTCTGTCTTAGTAAATTGGCAAAGTTCCAGGTGGGTAGACCCCCATGATCCTCTTTTACAAAGTCGAGTCTGTTTTAATATTTTCTCTTATTGAGGATTACTAAGGATTTAGTGGCATCTAGTGGTGAAGTTGCAGATAACTGACTGACTAACTGAGTACAGCTCAGCCTTTCAAGTGTGTAGAAGAAAACTACTGTGGCCACTTGGAAAAAACTTAAAGGGCCCTATCTAGAGCCAGTGTTTGGTTTGTCCATTCTGGGCTACCGTAGAAACATGGCGATTCAACATGGCGGACTCCGCTGAGGAGGACCCGCTCCCTCTGTACATAAAAACGTCTCATTCTAAGGTAACAAACACACAAAGTTTCTTATTTTCAGCTGATTATACAACAATGAAAACATATCTATGAATATTATATTCCATTTTTGACAATAGATCCTCCTTAATGTTACACAGTGAATTTTTAATAAGCTCCTGAGGACATACTTGAGGACCGTTTGCGCTTATTTACAACAGCTGATTAGGAAACTCCCAGCACTCAGCCAACCAACTGTAACTTCATCAGTCAGTTAATCAGGCAGGGACAGACAGTTGTTCCCATTTATAGGGATGGTAAATAACAGTGCTTTTTAATTAAATTAAATTAAACTGATCACTTCTGAGCTAGCATAGGACAGAGCCATACCCACTTACCCACTTTTTATTTGATTATAGGATCTGTGTAAGGGAGGGCACATACTGAAGGGCAGTGTAATCATTTCACTTGTGGTACAGTTTATAATAATATCCTCTAATAACTACATTACAGTTGACAAGATGTGCAGGTTACTGACTTGTTTTTCTTTCATCCAGAGAACTAATAAACTGCTCCATCCTCAAGTTCCTGTGAAACTGTTACAATGGCAAGGTAAGTAACTGACTTTATGTACCTTCTGTGTAATAAATTATGATGTTGATGGCCACCTGAAAAACTGGAGGATGGTTTACAATTACTTTATGTAATGTTCACCTGGTCAGGTATTATCCCCAGTGATGGTAGTATTCAGATCCTATACCTGCATAAAAGTACTAATACGGCACTGTAAAAATACTGTAATATATGTAACCCCTGAAAATCTTATTTTAGTGAAAGTCTTCCCTCTGGTGTGCTCCGGTTGCTACAGTAGAGCAATTTCCCTCTAGTTGTTGGCTCAGTCCCATCAGTATCATGATGCGGTCTTTTGCTTGGAGAGGGTCTAGAATCCTCAGTAATATCTTTTTGGATCTTGTCTCTTTCACATGTGTTCTGATACATTTTTTTGATAGCTCTCTTGGATGAATATCTTCATCTTATTTGATCAGAGTTCAATCTGCCCTTAATTAAAAGCTAAGAGGCATACCATTCTGATGGATTGGAAAATTTGGAACTGGTCCTCAACTGGAACCGGTTCTTGATTCCCATCCATAATCATGAATTAAAAACAACTTGCACGGCTTGGAGCTCAAGTGCATGGGATTCATCTTGGAAGGAGGAGGGGTCAGGGGGAAAACCAGAATATTTGGGAAGGCTATGTAATGATGCTGATTGGAATGACTTTATTAATCCCCCGTAGAAGAAATTCAAAATACACACAGCAGCATTTGGGAATAAAGTGCAAAGATAAGAATATTACAAAATATAATATAAAATATAAAATTATAAATGAAAAATATA